GCCCCTTCAATAACCACAAAATGTCAGGATTTTGACAACAAAAGCAAAATCTGATATATTTTCCATGTGCACCAACTTTTATATGAAAGGCGTCTTCTTTTTAATTTATTCAAATAAGGCGTATCTCTTCTTGTCCCACTAGAAGCTGTCTGGACCCTCTTTAAAGTTAGAAACTCCCTACCACTTGTTCCAAGATCAAAGACCAGTCGTCCCCTTTATCTAAACCAAGTGGAAGCAGAGCTTCTCCTCTACTGGCCTGAACTCAGGCTGTTTTATGGATTTTCACAGGTCAGTGTGAGAACTGGAATTTCTCCTGATTGTTTCCCACACAGACAAAGGCAGATCAGGAAGATACAGCAGATTAACTAGCAGCCAATCTGCTGTATCTACAGGCAGCATAAAGGTCAACAGGGCAGAGAGAGTTATTAATCCAAAAACTAGACTTAGGCTATTTTAATCAAGACATGTTAACTAGGAGAGATTATAAATTAGATGATGTGATTTACAATATTCTATCCTGCATTCAATTTTACACCAGCTCTTCACACATTCCCAGCTGTTGGGTTCTGAGTTTTATGACCTTCTGTGAACAGAGCAAACTTTGTCTCCCAGGCTCATTCCAAGAGAAACTGCCTTCCTGCAGATACTAATTTATGGCCTCTTGATAAGAAAAACAGCCCCAGTCTGAGCTTGATTCATGCAAGTTAGAACTTAGCCATCAATAATTTTAGATTAAACCATTAACCCAAACATAGATAAATTAAAAATTTAGCTGAAAAGAACCATGTGGTGAGATTAACTGTATTTAAACACAAAGAATATTCAATTTTCCTCAACAGCTGCAACTTTTCTGAAACCATTAAAATACTCAAATTTCATAAAAACCTGATTAACTTGCAAATTTTGATTAGTTTTTGTCAATAATTACGCCTCCAATAACCCAATTCTTTTGAACAAACCAAATAAACAATAAAGATACCAGAAACCTTCACAGTGGATCCTAATAAACTTATGAAACATTAAAGCCTAAAACTCAGAGAGTCTCTGTGTGAGATGGAGGTGAAATCAGTGAACCTGGGCTGTGGTTTACTGCTCTCTATGTCACAAACTGACATCTGATCATCTGGAGGTTTTTGTTCAGGCTGAAGGAATCATTTCTCACTGTGGGAACCAGAATAACAGCCGCAGTAGTAGGAGGCTGAATGATCCAGTTTAACTTTATTGATCTTCAATGAACAGCCGTTCTGATTTCTCTCAGCTGAGAAATCATCTTGCTGAGGATGACTGAAAGGTTTTTGTGGGCTACCACCACTGGTGATATAGAGAATAGCTCTGAATGTTTCTGTATCATTCTTCTGGTACCAGGCAGGATTACTACCACACTGTTCAGTTCTTCCACAGCTGAAGGAGACGCTCTCCCCTTTTCTCCTGGTCAGAGTCAGATCGTCCTGAACCAGCTGTGTTGCCATGGCAGCCAGCGCTGTAGAGACACAGACAGACAGGTGAAGGTTANT